TCGGGCCGTTTCGGACACCTCGGCGTCGCCATAAACCTGATCACGTACGACGACCGGCACCAACTGCACCGCATCGAGTCGGAGCTGTCGACCACTATAGCGCCCATTCCCAAAGTCATCGACCCGTCGCTCTATGTCGCCGACGCGCAGACGTCGCTCAACGACGACAACAACGACGACAACTAAACTCCAATACTTATTATTATTCTGTACTCTATTTGATTCAAAAATTCAATAAAACTTACGTCAAGTCGTGACGTGTGGCGTGACGTCAATCGCCTGCGCACTCAGCCATTGCTCAGCACTGCTGTCGCGTTATGGCCGACGAAAGTGCGATTCCCGTACGCGTCGGACACTACGAGTTGGTCCGCACTATCGGTGAGTACGCGCTCTGCAAGTGTTGCCCTTCGCTGACCCGTGTCTCGCAGGAAAGGGCAACTTCGCGGTCGTTAAGTTGGCGCGCCATCAGATCACGAACGCCAAGGTTTGCAGCAGTCGTGCTCTCTCTCGCACTCACCCCCCGCTCTCCCCGCCCGCAGGTGGCCGTGAAGGTGATCTCAACGCGCGCGCTCGACGCGGACCAGTTGCGCAAACTGCAGCGCGAGATCGACATCATGAAGCGGACGGCGGCTCACAAACACATTCTCCGTCTCTACCAAGTGATGCAGTCCTCCTCCCATCTCATGCTCGTCACGGAGTTCTGCGCGGGAGGAGAGATCTTCGACCAACTCGTCGCCAACGGCCGCATGACCGAAGTCACGGCTCGCGACTACTTCCGCCAAATCGTGGACGCCGTCGACTTCCTGCACGCGCAGGGCATCGTTCACCGCGACCTCAAGGCTGAGAACCTCTTGCTGTCGGCCGACCTCAAGGTCGTCAAACTCGCCGACTTCGGATTCTCCAACTACTTCTCGCGCGACGCCCTCCTCAGCACGTGGTGCGGGTCTCCGCCCTACGCGGCGCCCGAGCTGTTCGAGGGCCGGCACTACTCGGGGCCGAAGGCGGACATCTGGTCGCTGGGCGTCGT